ACACTAATTTTTTTAGTCATGGCCGATATGGCTATAGATATGTCTGGCATAGATAAAGAATGAGTAAAAGATGGAAATCAAAGACTAAAAGTACATGTAGATTTTCCACATAATTTTACTCTTTGATTAACAAATCTATGAACACATATTCGTATTTACACATCACTATGAGTGTGATAAGCACCTCGCAACTTTTGGTAGCGTATCACATTCTTTTCATACATTGGACGGCATAGAGAACAGAGAGAAGCAACAGCACATCATAGCCAGAGGAAGGCAGTACACTAGGAGAAAAGGGTACCCAGACTTGGGTAGCTCGAATGACCCCCCTTAACACAGTTAAACTCCCAACCTCTAGAAGCGATTCAAGGAGTCATAACCCCCTCGATCAACTCAGGGACACAAATTTTGTTTCACTGAGTATATAAGTCACAAAGTCTGTGGTGGACGGCTGCGCATCCATAGTGAAAGCTTAGAACAGAATTCGATATCGACCGTCTACCAGTGTTGACCAAGGGAAGCCAAACCCCAAGGACAACCTTTGCTTTCAAAACCATGTAACGTCCCCACAACCAAGGGACAGATAAGACAGTGCCATTGGTCCCTGCCGAGCCTGAACCTACAAGCGAATAAACGATAGTTCTAGTTACTGTGAAGACTGTTAATTTTCTCCCTAAAATCGAGTTTGTCCAGATATTGACCTAGCCAGCAAGCTGGGATTGCTCCCACTCGACCCCCGGGGGAGAAGCATAGGAAAGAAGGCAAAAAACGAGCTGCGAAATAGTAGCAGTGGTATTTATAGAATTTGAATTTCTTTAAATTCTGAATCTGCGATAGGGTACGAGCTGTCGAAATGCAGGAGGATTACGTAAGCAAGCGAGAAATGGAAAGACGCAGACCAGGAAAATTATTATAAACAGTTTAGAATAAAAAGGAGAGCTAGTTGTCGCAGTATTGGAGCCATGATTTGAGTTTAGTTTCCAGGATTTTATTTTTACAATCTGCATTTTGATGCTGATGTCATTGAAGGAGTCCTTGGCGATTTTCTTTACTTATTGTATACTTAAGTTTGCAATGGAGTGTTCTTTTCCTGTTTAAGTTTGAATGTCCACAAGTTAATTTTGGAGAAATTAGGAGTAGTTTTTTTTTTTTTTCTTTGAATGTTTCCCGGCATAGTGTTTGTACTACATGAATAAAGTTCTCTGTTGTTTATTTAAGTCGTATTTCGAGTTATTGCTTTCTATGGACTATAATATGGTTTCTTCCTCCTTCGCTAGGTGGTCTTTAATTTTTTCCCCAATTTTGATGATTTTATAAAGAGTTAGATTGATACTGGTGATTATTTTGTAGATTTAAAAATATATATATTTATGTCGAATTCCGTGTGCTCATCGTGCACGATTCTTTTCTAAACCGCATTGACAAGGTTGTGCGTGATGATTAAAAAATCGGTTCAACCTTCAGAATGGGCGTTGTCGAAGGTCGGAGGATCGTCTGGTTGATTATGAAGGCTAAAATTCTGAGCACTGATAAGACTTCAAGTTTTTCTCGGTAGTCTCTTTGTGCGTAGCCCCAGAGAGTGTTGTTGTGGCAATTAAAGTGTTCAGAAAATATATGGGGAATTGTTTGGGAAAGATGAGCTAGTTCATTGAGAGTTGGAGTTATGTCTTCAGAAGAGTCAGGTAGATAGACGCTCGTGATTAGCAATCGGGAAGTTTCGGTCTTGATGGAGTTGGTACATATATCACGTTTGCTGACGATTGAAATCGGGTTCCATTTTTGATTGAGAGTAATCATAGCTGATTTTGGATTTAGTGCACCCGAGCTTGGGAATTGTTGGAAATGTTCTCCAGTTGAGTTGTGTGCGTCGTATTTGGCTGTATGACCATCGATACAGAAGCCAGTGTTACCATCATTCTAAAGGATTTGGCTCAACAGTCGGAAGGCAAATTCATCTGGACATCGCTCTGCGTTAGCTTCTGGACTGTGTCCGGTGATAAGATCGACATGATGGAAAATTAAATCTTAAAACTACATTTGGAAGTGCCATCTACCATCACACGGCAGATGTGGCATATATTACAGATCCCTGTATACTCGAATCAGACTTTTTAAGAAAACACAATTTTTTTTTTAACTTTAAAAATAATGAACTGCATTCTGGCTCTAGGGACAAAACCCTGTTCGAAATTAAAGATGAAGGTGTGTGTGTGTGTGTGATTATGGCAAAGCCTCGAGGACTATCTGCCTAAGGGGAGGGATGCCTTCGTGGAGGACTTTCTAAGGGAAACTGGCTCGTATATTACGTTACACATGGGGAAAACCATAAAGATTAAGGAGTTAAATCCGTCCGCAAAATAGCTCAAGACGATTACAGTATCTGTTTATGTACGCACTAATGTACACTAGTCGAATCAACGAATGGCGCTGCCTACGCATCTAACTATGAATCTAACGACGTATCTAAATGCCACATCTAAATTTCTGCAAGCGGTGGTTCGATTATAATTCTATGATCAAATACTCAATCTAGTTTTAAAAGGATTTATTAAATACTAAACAAATTAATCTAATCTAGAATCTAGAAACAAATCTAATGTTACATCTCATGAGCAGCATTCGAGCTGCGTCATAACAAATCGAAAGTCAAGTTCTCACTGTTGCCATTCCGAGGCAGAGAAAAGTTTGTTTCTAATCAAATCGGAACATCAGCAGAGGACGTTTCTAGTCAACCGGAACATCCCGTCCCCCGTTGGACGATTGTCTAATATCATTTGGAAATGGGACTGAACTGATATTGGAGACGACGCGACGAAAGATTCCATCTGAAGTTCTGACGTCTACGACTCGTACTAGTCCATCTGGACCAGGAAAGGTTTCCTCGATGCGAGCTAGTGTCCACTTCATGGGTGTCTTTTTTTTATCCTTTAACAAGACTAGTTGTCCTGCCTTGAGATTGGATTTCACTTGATTCCATTTTGAACGGTTCTGCAAATGATTAAGATATTCCGCGCTCTAGCGGTTCCAAAAATTAGCTCTAATTTTTTGAATTAAGGTCCATCTGGAAGATAAGGACTAAGAATCTACAGAATCATTCGGTTCTCGTATCGACAAAAGTGGAGCTCCTATTAGAAATGACCTGGAGTCAAAGGCTGAAGATCTGTTGGATCAGCTAAAATAAGTGATAGAGGTCGAGATTCAAGCAAGCTTCTATTTGTGTAATTAATGTATACAGCTCTTCAAAGTTCAATATTGTCGTTTTTGCGACCTTTGTCAAAATTCTCTTCATTGATTTTATATTAGCCTCTCATAATCTGCCAAAATGCGGGGAAGAAGGAGGAATAAATCTCCATGTTACACCTTCTTCGGAACTAAAGAGCTGAATATCATCCGATCTACATATTCTAAGCAGCTTATCAAGAATATTCTTCGTTACCTTGAAGTTCGTAGCGTTATCACTCCAAACAATGGATGGTTTAGATTGTCTGACAATAAACCTTCTAAGACATGCTAGAAATGCTTCAGTAGACAAATCCGATACTACTTCTAGATGATAGCTTTGTACTAAAGCAAATAAATATCGCGATGTATGATTTTAAAGTAACCCTAGATCTTTTCAAATTAGGCTTTGTGATAACTGAACCTGCAAAGTCCAGTCTCATTTTTTCGAATGGTCTAGTTGTTACAACTCTATCTCTAGGTAAGACTCCCATCATTTGGTTTATGGTTTGGTTCTTTGTCCGGAAGCACGTCATGCATTTACTTATAACGCGTCCAACTCTTTCTTGTCCGGAAGGTATCCAATATAATTGTCGAATAAAAGAAAGTGTTGTTTGAACGCCCGAATGAAGAGATTTTTGATGATAATAATCTAAGAGTAGATGTCTTTTGGGTAAAAGAAGTTGATGTTTCTGGTCTTCTGAAATATTGGAGAAACGTAGTCTCTCGCCAACTAGTAAAAGTTCATCTTCATCTAGAAATACATTTAAGGATGAAACCTTACTATTACTTGTAACTGATCGTTTCGACTGCAGGCATTTAATTTCAGGTTGAAATTCAGAATGCTGTACACATGTGACTAGCACCTTTGTTGCATTCTGTAATTCAGAAGCACTCAAAAAACTTTCTTTTCTTAATGGTGGATTGGTTCTACAGTTGTTCACAAACCTTAAACACCACGCGGTAGTTCTAATCAATTTGCTAAATGACGAATACCTTTGAATGAATTCGTTCTCAATGGAATTTCAACCTGTGACTGTTGAGTTCACTACAGCTCCCCTTTGAAGTTCAAGCTCTTCATTATCTTTGAAATCTCTTACTGATTCTGCAAGTTTAGGCCACGAATCGATGCTCTGTATTAGCCACTTAGGCCCATGCCACCACATGTCACTATTTCGTAGTTCAGACAACGTTATTCCTTTCGAGGAATTTGTCTTCGTTCCTCTGGTCAGCATATCAGACGGATTTTCATCTTCAGGGCAATAATTCAAGGACTCAGGTGATGTTTTCTCTCTTATTTCCATTACTCGATGTTGGATGAATGGCTTCCATTTATTTAAATCGTCCTTTATACAATGTAACGTCACAGAAGAGTCTGACCCAAAAATATAAATTCATCTGGAGTCTTTTCTCTAACTGTTCTTTCATATTTGAGGCTAATCTTGCTCCGATGAGCGCCCCCATCAGCTCTAATCTGGGAAGGGACAGCTTCTTCAATGGAGCTATTCTGGTTTTGGAAATGACAAAACTACTTCCTATTTAACTGTTCGTCGTGACGTATCGCAGGTATATCACAGCTCCATATGCCTTCTGACTTGCGTCGGTAAAGCAATGCATTTGAATATCTCTTAATACAGACTTGTTAGTCTTTCGAAAGTAATGTCGCGGAATGTTTACATCCCGAATCGCTGACAGTTCATTAGTCCATTTTTTCCTTCTGTTTTCAAAGTCCAATGGTAACGGATCATCCCAATCTACCCCAAGTTGCCAAATTTCCTGCATTAGTATTTTGCTCTAATAGTGAATGGGCTTATAAATCCAATGGGATCGTAAAGCTTTCCAATGGTTTTAAGAACTTCTCTTTTTGTCATTAGCTTTGTTTCCTCTTGAGCTTGATTAGTTAGATTTTGTGATTCTATCTTCAGAAGGTCTTCCTTGTAATTCTTTATATCCCAATACCTTCTGTTCCAGAACTTTCTGGATTTCACCATTTTCTTATTCATCAAAAACTTTCTGCAGATCGCACAATTTGTTTCCCATTTTCGCATGTTGAAACCAGAAGCCTTCAATATATATCTAATATCTTCATATATGAGTTTGACTTCGTTTTCATCTTCATCCCCACCTATTAAATCGTCTACGTATAAACATTTATTCAATAGTTTGACTGCTTTCTGATTTGTTTCTTTGAAGGTATCTATGTGGTGTTTGATAGTAGATGCAAGCAGAAATGGACTGGATGTAGCTCCAAACAAAACGCGAGTCATCCTTAGTCTTTTCATGTTAGGTTTCCCATCCTTATCTGTAAGGTTATTTGCCCACAAAAATCTTACAGCATCCTTATCTTCAGGTGACAGAGAAATCTGGACAAAGGCTTGTTCAATGTCGGCAGTAAATGCTACGCCATGTGTACGAAATTGTATTAATATCTCTAACAATGGTGGATTTAAATTAGGACCGGAATAGAGACAATCGTTTAAAGAATATTCGTTTTTCGAATGGCTGGATGCATCAAATACAACTCTCACGGGTTTGTCAGGTCGAATAACTGGCTGGTGAGGCATGTAATAAATTCTTCCTGTTTCTTCAGAGCTTGGATCAATTTCCTCAGCTATACCCATTTTTAAATGTTGTTCTATAACTGAGTGATACTGCTGAGGAAGCAGTGGATCATTTGTCAACCTTTTAACCAGTTTATTTAAGCGAACTTCTGCATTTATGTAATTCGTTTTTAATTCAGACGAATTTTCATTCCAAGGGAGTTTAACCTCATATCGCTTTTCTTTAAATTTGTTAGTTCTGTTAAAATTCTCTAAAATGTCATTATCTATTTTACTACTTTCCTTCTCTTGTTCAATTCCAAATGTTTCTAATTCCCAAAACTGCTTTAACTGTGTTGAGACCAATTTGTCGTCAACAGTAATGTCCATGTTTAACAATTCACCGTTAGAATCAGTCCGGTCTCGAAGGCATTATCCATATATTGTTTCGGAAGCTATAAGTTTATTTTTAAAACGTTTCAGTTTAAAAATTTATTAATTAAAAATTGGATACGCTCCAAGTTTCTTTTGTCGGAAGACCCACTTCACAAGCTGATATAGAGTAAAAGTTATTGTTGAGAAAAGAATGTGAGGATGCCTTTAACAAATTGAAGGAGGCTTTAACATCCGCTACAATTATAACGTATCCTCAGCTCGATAAACCCTTTATTCTCGGCACGGATACGAGAAATGAGAATGTGGGTGCTCTTTCTTGTCCCGAGAAATAAACGCTCAAGAACGGCTTACTGCAGGAAGTTTCTATCTAAACCGGAGAGAAGTTACTGGGTTGTTGGGAAAGAGTTACTTGCCGTAGAACCGTAGCCGTAGAACATTTCCTTCGTTATCTCTACGGCAGAAAATTCCTACTCCACACAGATCATGCATCGTTAACCGACTAGAAAACCCTACCCAGAAAGCTGCCTATATTATTCTAAGCCTTGAAGCGAAATTCTGTTCTCCCTGACTTTCTCGTCACTCCATGAATCTGAATCAGATAATGCTGAACTTGAACCAGATTGAGCAGCTAGAATTTCGCTTAAAAACTTAGAACAATATCAGCAGCTTTCTAAGTAGAAATCTTCTAGTCAGATCTTTAGCTTTTCCGTATTTCCATCTCATATTCTATATCCCTCGGGTTACTTGGCCTTCGGGATTCTTGAAATATACCAGTCAGGTCAACGATACATGATCTGTGTGGAGCAAGAATGTTTTATGGCTTTAATTATGGCGAACAACTCTTTCCTGGTGACATAATAATTTTAAGCGTAAAATCTTTCATTACGACAGGCTAGCTCCTTACCTAGTTCGTTACGACAGGCCATAGTACATAATTCCCTTCGTGTGCATAATGTAAATAATTTACAAAGAGCGTAGTCCTATTTGTATATAAATTTTAAAATTTATGCGTTTATTTATTTAACATTTGATTTGTATTATGTTATTTATTGAAAACTTTGTTTTACTATTGCATTGATTTTCCTTAGTTGTATGGGGGCCCACCAGCGGCCGAGCGGTAAAATCGCTGAACACTGGTAGTTCGGTCCGAGGTTCGAATCCCGCGAACGGGCTGGCTGCATGGGCGTTTTCGTGGTTTTCCCCATGTGTAACGTGTATACGAGCCAGTTTTCCTTAGAAAGTCCTCCACGAAGGTATCCCTCCCCTTAGGCAGATAGCCCTAGTGTGCTTTGCCATAATTTAATAAACCAAACCAAAACCAAACCTTAGTTGTGTGTGAGGCTTACTGTCAAGGAACTGTACTGCCCGAAATAGCAGTCCTTGGGAAGGGGGCAATGTTACGAATTTTGTGTATATGTAAGTAATTCTAGTGAAATGATCTGTGAAATTGTAGTTCCTTTTGCATTGAAAGTTCTTCTTGTGATTTTAATGGCAAATAAGTAATATTTTCCCCATTAATTCCGAAGGGTTTCATAATCTGTATTAGCTCTTCGGCACTAAAATTTGAAGAAATATATTTCTCAAAGTGTTTCTCAAGACACCGAAGATGTTTATTTATCACCCTTAAACAACTCATCTTTTTGATGATCTGTTTCATCATTTTCAGTTAAAAATTCACTAGTTGCGACAAACATTTCTAACGAACCCTTTTTGACCAGAGTTCTCTATATGGTAATTTTCTTAATAAAAGCATAAATTTTTGATCTGAACATGAATATGTTGCAACGTTATCCTTGAAGCTACAAATTTAGTTCATTTAGTTTTCCAAATATGTCACAGAAATAACATAGATTTTGCAGCCACAGCTTATTATTGAATAAATTCGCAAAATCAGATTTTTGTTTGGTTAGAAAGAGAAGAATTTCACCTCTCAATTTTAATAACAATTTTAAACTGAGGCTTCTCGAAAGTCATCTTACCTCTGCATGTAATAATAAGCTTTTGCATTCAGAACCCATGTCTTGACTGTTCAGAGCATGACTTTTAATAAAGTTGACCACTTTAACACTATCTCGAAGCACAATATCTAACTTCGCTAAATATTTTTGGCCACCAGGGCCTCTCGATGTATCATTGCAATGAGTAAATGTTATATGTTCGTTGCCACTTTCTCTAACTTTGGTTAGAAATTCAATTTTTCACCGACCGTCGCTTTAAAACCATCTATGCAAATACCAACACAGTTTTTCCATTACAAACTTTCTTCAATGTAAAATTCATTAACTTTTACAAACTGTCTTCTTCTCTTGTGTGTTCGTCCATAGAGCTACAAAACAAAAATTCCTCATGAATAATACATCCTTCAAAATATATCTAACATACAATAATAAATGAGCCAAGTCGGTAATATCAGTTGATTCATCCAACCGGATTGCAAACTTAGGACTCTTTGTGAGCTTAGTTATTAGCAGCTGATGTTGATCTTAATTAATTTCCGAAATTCGCTGTGAAACAGTATCATCGTTGGATAATGGAAATTTGCGGATTTTATCCGCGTACTTTTTGCCGTGAACACTTTCGGACATTTTAATAGTAGCCGGCAATATTATATTTTCTCCAATGGAAGACGCAAGTAAATACCTTTCATTCACAGTAACAAAGCTCTCAAAGCCAAATTTTTGCTGATTCAGGATTGCAAAAGTCGTTAAAAGTATTCTTTGGGTTCCTCGCAGTGCGCAGTATGCTTTGTTTTGAGATGTCGGGAATGCTTTTTGTTGCCGAAACTTCTTTACAAATTAAGCATAATGGCTTTTGAATTCCATTATAATTACAATTATTAAAATCCAATTCCAACTATTATTCGTCATACTTTTGTATTCTTGGTATTCTAACTGCGCTCGTGCTAGGTATCGGAGATGACTTTTCATTGTTTTTATCTCGTTTACCTTAATTCAGTCACATCCATCATTCGTAAATATTTGATAGTAATTATTGTTGAGAAAACAAGGGGGGGGCTTGTTTGGCGAGATGGTGAACGCGGCGGTTGAAGTCAAAAGACGGCCCAGCACACATGTGTTACCAAAACACTCGGATCCTGCATACGCAGTGCTTTTGACGAATTGACAGCGTCACGTGCAAAGCAAGTAAATGAACGTTTCTGTTACAAAAAAAAAGTATCGAAGCGTTTTCTTTTTTTTTCTTTGTATGTATTATCTTATGTTTATCCATTTTCAGATACATTGCATAAAAATATTTGGTAATTGTAAAATTATTATAATAAGTTAAAAAAAATATCAAAATTACTAAAATTTTTGGCGACCCACAGTTTAAGAAATTCTGCTCCAATTGAATAACTGTAATTGATCCCTGTATGTAACTTTAACCTTATCCGGCACTTATATTTCGTAACTTTAACCCTTTCCGGCACGCTACCTTTTAAAGTCGGAATTTTGATAAAAAAAAAGTAGGCAGTCTAATTAGGCCTAGATGAGTACACAAGTAAAATTTTGTGAAGATAGCACTTATCGTTTATTTTTGTGGGTGTGCCAGAAAAGAGCACACTGATTGAATAGAGCTTCAAAAAGAGTGCTGAAAAGAGCATTGTTGTCAATGAACTGACCGATGGGATGCGGAGAAACAAAGAATACAGACTTTCAGTTGTCCTAGATTATCGGTGAGGCCGGTCTGGGCACACCTAGGGTTTACTGTTTGATTTAAGCAAGATTTCTAGGTAAAAATTTAAACCTAATATAGAATAAGGAGATTAGCATACAGCCAAAAAAAATAACATAAAAATTTCTTTTCAAACAATTCCTTTTATACCGCCAAAAAATCTGGAAGATTTCTTTTAAAAATGGGGATCTTAAAAAACTAAATATGGCTAAATATATGGACTGGTTTGTGTTGAGCTGCCATCTACTATAAATAAAGAAGGTTCAGAGTAACCTATAGTAACTTATAAATCCTTTTTCATTCAATTTTTCTGTGGGTACAGAAGGAAATTGTTAGATGTGTCCAGACCGGATACACTGTGCCGCAAAGGGTTAACCGTATATACCTTCTAGTAATTTCGAGAAACGGAAGGTAGTAGAGATTTCTCGGCTGCCGGAGGAAAACTGTGTAAGACAGCCTCTTTGCATGCGCTTTGCCTTGCTTCTGTTTAACGTTTTTAGTTTAATTTTAAAGTGGTAATTGCTGATTGTGATTTGCTATACAAGTACTTTTGTAGAAGGTTCTAGAACTGTAAAACGTTTCTTTTTTGAAGATAAATTTTATCAAGCTATCATCGATTGTTTATGCATTCAGTCGATTACGAACCCGTACTCAGGAAAAAGCCGTACGCATGTTGTGAGAAAAACGATTAGCAGATTTTTCTGTGCATTCTAAAAACTATGTTCTAAACCTAGTTTTAGAATAACAAAACTTTTTAACCAAATCAGAAAATTCCAAGATGAATAGAAAACTATTGAGCAGGGAAATCATTAAAGAAAATTGTTCTTCGAAGGGATATTAACTAATTAGTAGGTGAAATAGGTACTAGTAGGAATATTGACTTGTTTCTTATGGTATGGTGTGGTGTATTTAATTATGGCAAAGCACACTAGGGCTATCTGCCTAAGGAGAGGGAT